CGTCCACGAGCAACTGTCCAGGGTGGTGACGGCTGTCGTCCACGGGCAGCCAGTCCAGGGTGGTGGCGGCTGTCGTCCATGGACAGCCGGTCCAGGGTGGTGGCGGCTGTCGTCCAGGGACGGCCAGTCTAAGGTGGTGGCGGCTGTCGTCCACGGGCAACCGGTCCAGGGTGGTGGCGGCTGTCGTCCACGGGCGGCCAGTCAAGGGGAGTGGCGCCTGTCGTCCACGGACAGCCGGTCCAGGGTGGTGGCGGCTGTCGTCCACGGGCGGCCAGTCCAGGGTGGTGGCGGCTGTCGTCCACGGACAGCCGGTCCAAGGTGGTGGCGGCTGTCGTCCACGGACAACCGGTCCAGGGTGGTGGCGGCTGTCGTCCACGGACAACCGGTCCAGGGTGGTGGCGGCTGTCGTCCACGGGCGGCCAGTCAAGGGGAGTGGCGACTGTCGTCCACGGACAGCCGGTCCAGGGTGGTGGCGGCTGTCGTCCACGGGCGGCCAGTCAAGGGGAGTGGCGACTGTCGTCCACGGACAACCGGTCCAGGGTGATGGCGACTGTCGTCCACGTGCAACCGGTCCAGGGTGGTGGTCACAACTGTGGAAGAAAGCATAGCCCGACAAGAAATATCCGAAACAAGGGCCTTCATTCTGTCACTTGATTTTTCTCAAGAAACCCTTGTATGCTTTTATCACCTTGCTTTTTAGCAGTCAGCATGTAAAACTTCCGAATTTGTTTGTACCTTAAATGTTGCGGCAAAAAGTTATATCTCAAAAAGTAATCTTGGCAATCCAGGCGCATGAAAGGCTGAGGGTCTCTATCGGTCATCGAGCCGATTTCGAAATTATGAAGTACATTGCAACAAACGGCGAAGTTTTTAAGTCCTGTACTAGCAGGGTGGCGGCGAGGGTGTCAAAAAAGTAAAGTATAATAATTCCGGGTCAGCTGATATTTCGTTCCATGTTTCGGAGATGCCCAGAAGCAGTCGTGACCCACGTGTAAATAAAACGTGAGCTAACACGGCCAACGGACACAGCTGCCGCAACTTTAAACTCATTTCTTACAAAAGATTGCATTTTAACTTTGTATTCACAAATTCGAGCAGTGGGAACTTTATCAAAGTAACACCACTGTCCGAAGGCTCCTTATTTCGGAAAGGGTTATCCCAGAAACGCTGCTGGCGAAAGGATAAATTTAAAGAGAGAGCCAGTTGGCAACTCAGCTCAACTCAAAAGCCAGCCCGGCTCCATCTGTTTTGCTTTCACCTTCCACTGGCAAATGTGTTAAAGGAGAAGGCGGCTGCATTCTAACATTGCCTCCGTGTGCTGGTTGTGTTGAGCCAAAAAATACATGTCAGCTTCTTCGAAAAAACTAGTCGTTTCTTTTTAGCTTCGTCTTAACGTTTTCCAAAGGTGCCAGCTTGGGACAATTGCGTCGCCCAGCACAACAGACCAGTCTGCCTGGTCCCATCCGGTAAAACCTCTCACAAGCCATCCAATGCGGTCACACGATCACACCAAGTAACCGTGGGGACCGTTTCGCCTTCCGCCAACTGGCATATGTCGCAGATCACTTCAAAGATCGGTGTTGAGCCCGGTTTGATCTGGTCGTGCTCTCTGAAATCCAATCCACGTGCTACCCCGGCTTTTTAACTTTTAGAAATCCAATCTGCTCCGCTTCTGCTTAGCAGCCTTTTAACTTCGCCGTGACGTTTTCCAAAGATGACAGCTTGAGGCTTTCGCGTCGCCCAGCACGACAGACCACTCTGCCTGGTCCCATCCGAGGAAACCTCTCACAAGCCATCCAATGCGGTCACACAATCACAGCATGTAATCGTGGGAACCCTTTCGCCTCCCGAACCAACTGGTATATGTATCAGAGCACGTCAAAGATTGGTGCTGAACCCGGTCCCATCTTGTCGTGCTCACTAGAATGCAATCTACCCGCAACTCTGGCTTTTTGTAATTTGGAATCCAATCTGGTCCGGCTCTGCTTAGCACACGTCTTTATGTCCATCCAATCTGTATTCAAGCTTTTGCTTCTGTCATAACAAACAGACAAAATTTGACACATTTCAGCACGTTGAAATCTTTCTCTTGAGCAAATTCCATGGAAGTGTTGTAACCGGCTACAAAAACAAGCAATCAATATATTAATTTGTAGCATTTTCAGCGGTTGTAAAACCCACTGTTACCAATTGATGACTTTCATTATCAACCTGACTTACATGGAAGTATGTCTAAACATATATCTGGGACATAAACCAGATGTCTAGTACTCTATATTAATTGCTTTAACTCTAAACTCTTAAGCACATGGTAGGCCCAGTAAAAAGGAAAATTCTGGTCCAGATGACATTGACGGAGTCGAGCGGATAGCAATGTTCTGCATTTCATAAGCCCTAATTGAGCTGCTAATTGCAGCTCAAAGGTGCCAGCGGTAATTCAGCATTTTCAGATTTTTAGAACTCAGCTGAAAATACATGTGCAAGCTCTTAGGCTATTGCTTTAATGCTACACAAACTCACAGAGCTGGCAGATCCCGAATGTATGAGCTCACATACAGTTTGTGCACCACGCAGTGCTTCGTGACCAAGCAACGTCACTGGGTACCACTTTTCCAAAACTAAGAAATGAGGCCATCTTCCTATTCCGGTGTCTCCGGAAATTATGAGAGGTTGCTGAAAAATGCCGGGTGAGGGTATGCCATATCACCTTTTCAAACAAAACGCGTCTCACCTCAGTTATAATTCCCAACATGTTTTCCGTCTTGGTCACCCCAGCAGCAAAAATGGCCGAAATTGAACTCGCTGCCACTGTTAGTTGAGTGCAAAGAATCTAAACAGGGGTGCCCGCATGTCACATGGTCATCGCGATCCATGGAAGAAGAACAACAAGGCTGGTAGCACGGCAATGCTGGGGCCTTACAATTTAGCGTCTTGGCCACTGGAGAAGCTGCGCCACTTTTGAACTATGGTATGCTGCTCTGAATTCATCACCGTTCTCTCTCTCCCTCTCTCTCTCTCTCTCTCTCTCTCTCTCTCTCTCTCTCTCTCTCTCTCTCTCTCTCTCTCTCTCTCTCTCTCTCTCTCTCTCTCTCTCTCTCTCTCTCTCTCTCTCCAATTTCTCTCTCCCTCTCCCTTTCTCTCTTCCTCTCTGCGTCTGCGTCTGCGTGTGCGCCTGCGCCATTCTCTCTCTTCGCGCCTGCGTCATTCTGCGCGTTTTGCGGTGCCGTCGGCAGAGTACCGCACGCCGTCCTCCAGCATCACGGCAACGCTGCAGCGGTCGAGTCGGTTCTTCACCGCGCACTGACACCCAAGCCGACCTCGCCCAGCTGACGTAATTGGGCCGCAGAGTACGCGCCGACGCTCGAACCCGCACTCAGTCAATGAACTCGGGCGAATGCGGTTCGGCTAGCGGTCCGTGGAATAGTCCCGACGGCCTGCGAATGAAGGTCGAGTGCGCTTCTAGGGGTGAAACACGGCAATCTATCCTATTTAAGGGCCGGTTTTGTGGCTGCCCAGATCCTGACCTAGGTGCACCTCGCCGGGTCTTTCTCATAACAGAGCGGGCCGTACAGCAACGTACAAATGCGGCTCACGACCACGCTATCAGCGCGCATGGTGAACAGATGAATCGACAGTACTCGAACGCACGTCGAAATGCACGTTTCGTGATTAGAAGTCCGAAGTTTTTTTTGACTACCACTCCATGAGAGAACGTCACAGAACTGTCCCACCTCATTATCCGTACCGGCCGACGGATTTTATGACAAGGGTCTGTACGTTTGGCAGTCAAGCTGTGGAGTTCCTAGACGAAGAGGCCAAAACTTGTTCTGGGAACGGTATCAGTAATTAACGGTCGGTCTTGATATGGCGGACCCGGGGGCAGACAGGTCCGGGCGTGGGCCGGGCCCTCGGACAGTGGACCAGATCAGTCCTACACCGACGGCGGCAGCGTGACGCACCGAGCTCTGCCGATCGACGCAGCGTCCTTCAGAGGGGCCGAGGGGTCGCAGGGGTGAGACGACATCGCCAGCTGCTGCCTAGTCGGACTCTGCGGGGTACGGTTCGACGGCGGTCCCGCACCAGCCACAGCGCACCACCAGTGAGTGACCCCCGCGGTCCCAGCGGGCTCGGGTCGAGGCTGTTTCAAGGTGTACGGCAGCGGAATACCAGTCAGGAACGGCAGTATTCCCACCGAGTTCCGGTCAGGAGAAGGGCCGTGTCGCTGACGGCCGAGAGGACCGCCAGCCAGTGGGTTTGTGTCCGCAGTGTTCAGAGATGAGAATCATACGACGCCGTGCTGCGCGTGCGTGTCGTTTAAAGCCGTGTCGTTTGGGGCCGGCTCTCACATCCCATTTCTTCCGCTGGAAACGCGTCCTCGCGTCCGCTTGATCCGAGCTCTTGCCAGCGGGCGACGCGGTGGGCCGAGCACGAACTCAGTGATGATTGCGACCCACGGCGGGTTTTTGTGTGAAGACTCTTGGGATGCTAACGAGGGGTCAGCATCGCGGTTACGGTCCGAAGTATGAACTGAGCGGACCGTGCCCTGGCCCCGATCTTGCGACCCGGTCTGGAGTCATTTGTCCTTGTAATGTAAGCTAAGTTGCACTGATGAGCTTGTTTGCGTGCCATGAATTCAATGGGGCGACCAATGCGTTTTATCGTCGCTGTTCGGTCAAAGGGATCACGCCGATCAGAAATCCAACGTGACATTGAGGCTCAAGCCTGCCGTGTGACACTTTTGTGGGCGTCAAGCCCATTGCCATGACGCTCTTGAGGAAAAGCCGCTAAAGTTTTCGCTCGTTCCAATCGGACTTGAGCTTTCGAAATAGCTCTAATGGCGCATGCAGTGGGTTGATTCCGTGCACCATCGGTAAAGAAACATGGTTCGTATCCTTGACCAAGGCAATCGATCATCTGTCGCCAGCCAGTGAACGGGGGTCTTCCGCATATGGTGTCGAGCGAGCGTGTATGCACACTGAGCACATTCTCTGTTGTTGCAGATGAAGGCGGCCGGTTGTCTCGTTCTCATCGTGCTATGCTTAGCCGTCAGCTACCACGCGGTCGCTGCTCGGGATGTTGCCAGGTGAGGTCAGATCGGGTGCGCTGAAGGGCATGACATTTTTCTCAGCACTATTCGGGAGAAAACCGCTGCAATGTCAAGAGAAAATTATGTGGATACACGAAGCAATCTTTCTCTTGCCGCGCTGTGTTGTTACTACCTTCAAGCACCCTTGCGCAGTGCACCGTTGCTTCGAAACTGCGCGTCATCGTGGTTTGATTAGATGCGCGCCTTTCCTTCCGCCATGGTCTCTGACGGGTACAGCGCTTACGCGCGCGCTGTGCATTGAACAGCACATATTTACGCTGCATACTGTGGCCTACGCCATTTGTGGCAACCTGAAGCACCCGTGTTTCAGGGCCAAAGAGAACTCGGATGCGGGATCGGGTACATCGACGGCAGCCGTGACAACCGTGACGGTGACAACAACGGACAGCCCGGTCACTGAAACGGGTTAGTGCCCCTCCCCCGCCCCCCCCCCCCCCCAACTCTTGGTTTTTCAGCGCGAACGTGTGTGGTTGGTCCTGTGATGAAGCCTGATGACAGATCCGGATAACCACCCTAAGATGCTAGTTGTAGTATCCCATCCCGTTTGCTTCGATCATTGCGTCCAGTTATATCCATGGACCTTCGAAGCAGGGTGCTTTGTGACCGACTGTCCACGCATCTACGAAGGGTCACACAATGCAGAAATTGGGCCGAATGTCTCGAAAGTGGACCAATCTGATTCTTCTGGCAATCACGTCGTCCTAAAAATATTACTGTGTGTGTGTGTATGGTTGCTGGCGTTAGTACCGGTTTAACCAATGCGCCATTACGTTGTCGTGATTTGGGGTTTGAGGGGGTGTCATTTGGGGCTTGGGAGGCTTCATTTGGAGTTTGCTGGTTAGTCCAACGGGGGCGAGTTTGTGACTAAAACTTCTGTCATGGCCACTCCCCACAGATCACAGCGGGGGTGGGTTTGTGACTGGAACTCCTGTCATGACCACTCCGCACAGATCACAGCGGGGGTGGGTTTGCGATGAGAGCTCCTGTCACGACCACTCCGCACAGCTCACAGCGCTAGTGTCCGCCGACCTTAAATGTCATGCCCTTCATGTCTTAAATAAAGGACAGTCACGACAGTCCGCCGACCTGCGATGATCGCCGCCCGCCCGTCCCGCTCGCACTAACGCCCTGTTGCGCTCGTTTCGCCGGCAGAGTCGGAGGCCGAGCCGGAGCCGGACCCTGAATGGGAGATCGTCTACTCGGTGTGGATGGAGCAGCTGCAAAAGGACCTGTCGGACGTCTGGGAGACAGCCTGATCAGAGATTGAACGGATGCCCATCTGATCAGAGAATGAACGGACACCCACCTGATCAAAGTGCGCAGGGTCGCCCACCTGATCAAGGGGCGCAGGGTGGCCCACGTGATCAGAAGGCGCAGGATGCCCACATGATCAGAGGGCACAGGGACGCCTACCTTATCAGAAGGCGGGTATTCACACAGCCGTCCTGCAGTGCTGTTCAGCCAAAACGCTGCTGTCCAGCGTGCTACTCGTCCAGAGCGTCACAGGCGTGTCATGTGTCATATATGTAATTATTTCGCACATTCTGAAATCATACGCTGTGTAACACGGGTGGACGACATTTTTCACCATGCCCAGCTAGGATGGACGCTCAGTATTTATGGTGTCACGTTACTAACAGGTGCAGGACGCGGAGGGTGCAACGCTGCGTTTTGAAGGCACAAATCAAAATAGGTATAAGTGCAGTGGCATTATCATCTGCAACTGGCATTTGTTGAGCATAAATATTGCAAGCGATGCCCTGCGGTTGACATGGAAATAGCGTCTGTAGCCTCCTGCTGGAGAGACCGGTGCGTCTGCCTGTATGGTGCATCACCTTCTGACCGTCCGACGGAATACAGTCTGTTGCTCAATATATGGAGAAGAATGCAAATGCTTCAGCAGCTTCAGCTAAACCTTGATTAGTTTATGTTCACTTGAACGGCATGCTTCTACTCATATTTTTGTACGTTGCCGAGAACGAAACATCCTCTAGATTTACATGGCATCTTTCAATTCGTCAGCCCTTCATTCTTTCCGTTGCAATTCACTTGTAAAATTTTGGCCTCACTTTTTGGCGAACAGAGCGCAAAATGAATTATTTTGTACGACATGTGTAACTGCAGGCAAGTTGCAGCGAGACAGGAGGCCCTCCAATTCATCCGGAAATGGGCTTCGGTGGAGCGGACACCTTCATTGTTTCTGATTAGAGTGCTGCGCGCCAGCAGCTCGGCGAGCCTCGCCTGTCCGCAGCGGAGCGCCCGTCTGGCAGCTCCTCCTCCAGTGGTACGTCCCCTCGTGGACCTGCGCCCGTCTGGCAGCTCCTCCGCCAGTGGTACGTCCCCTCGTGGACCTGTGCCCGTGTGGCAGCTCCTCCGCCAGTGATGCGTCCCCACGTGGACCTGCGCCCGTCTGGCAGCTCCTCCGCCAGTGGTACGTCCCCTCGTGGACCTGCGCCCGTCTGGCAGCTCCTCCGCCAGTGGCACGTCCCCTCGTGGACCTGCGCCCGTCTGGCAGCTCCTCCGCCAGTGGTACGTCCCCTCGTGGACCTGCGCCCGTCTGGCAGCTCTTCCGCCAGTGGCACGTCCCCACGTGGACCTTCGCCCAGCCCGGCGTGGAGCCGGCCGGCAGGCTGTCTTGGACGGCGCGCTCATGTCTGCGTGGACGGTCAGCTGGCGGCGAGCCGTCAGCTCCTGACCCTGTGACGAGCTACGCCGACGGCAGCGACATCTGTCACGCAGCCCTGCACGCAGTCACAGGCGAGCTCATTAGGCTTCAGGTGATGCCGACGGCAATTAATTTGTAATCTACGGGAGTTGGGGCTTCTCCCAGACTTATGCAATTTATGGAGGATGGCCAGAATTACTAGACGACAGATCGCATGCAGAACTGTATATCGAGAACCGCACGACCGACCAGAACAGTATGGTCATTTAGGTCATGAGTGCTGAAACCAGGCATGGTGGGACCACTATCTAACTACACAGCTTTCCTACGCAGCTATCACTATCGAGAATACAGCTTATCTACTCAGAGTGTGGCACACAGCAACAGCGCATCATTGCCATAATTGCGGAAACATCTAAACGCCGAACAGAATGCGCACGCTGCATCTAATGAGTAGCGCAAAGTTTGGTCATCTATTTCCAATACCAAGGGCTAAATCCCGCCAACATCTTGCCAGGCAGATGGTCAACGTCAGGGACGTTCTTGACGAACTGTTCCTCGTGTTAATGCACCCGCCACACGTTCACGGGCATTCCATGTATTGCTGCATTACCGCACGGTGTTACGCCCCGAGGTCTGCTCGGCATGCATGCCTCTGGAGCAGCCATGCCTCGACATGCCGTGCTAAGTTTTTGTCAGTGGCCTCTACTCCTCTGTTCGCGATGTGGCATTTTCACTTTCAGTGCCTGCGCGGCAGCGCTGTAGTGCAGCCGCCTCCAGCTCTTGCGTCAAAGGCGCTCCGTTGTCGTGTTTCCCGCTCGGCCCGCGTGTCCGACGGATCTGCGCGCCGTTCGTCAGCGCGTAAACGGCGTCAATGAATGCCCCACGCCGCCACAGAGCGGGGCGCCACTTTCGCTGTCGCGGCGCGCACGAGGGAGACAGGGCCGGTCGCCTTTGTCAGATCGGAAAGTTGCGGCCCGGTGGCCCGCTGCGCCGTCCAGGCAAGGTGAGAGGTTGACTGGGCCGTCGGCCCACCTCCTGCCGGTCATCATGACGGGCCTGTTCAGGTCCGGGTCCGCGTCGAGGCAGCAGACCGAGCGCGGGGTGACGCGCTATCACCCGCACTTCCGACGGAGCCGGCCATGCCATTACAACCGAAACTTTCGCGCTGTTTGATACATTTTATGTTTCCGTTAATTCCCTACCATGTTTTTTTTCCCTGAGGTGGCAATGCGGTGTCTGATCAGCAGAGCTTACCGCGCGAGCACGGGACTAGCTTCACACAGAATGTCAGGTGCCCGCCAGTCGTTTTTGGAACGCAGGATAGCGGAGATGATATTTTTGGCATAATGCAGCGTTACGGAACAGCTGCCCGGTGTCCGTGGGCTGATATATTCGAAACCATTTCAGGCTATTCCTTAGGCATAGCCCTCGACCTTTCCATGTTGGCGGTCAATGTTTCTAAGGACAGTGGCTCGCACTCTGACGCAAATGAAACGCGCAGTGGCACCCAACTGCTCCTGGTTATTGCTGCAAAACAAGCGATAACGCTGAACCCGCATACGTCATAGAATCAAATTTGTACGCAAGGGGCTAGTGAATGAAAATCAAGCGCTGAGTGTTTATCCCATCGTGGACGGATGGCTGGTTTAGAGTGTAACGCGTAGCGAGCTGATGACCAAATGCTGTGTCCGAGGCCGTTCTCCACTCGTTGATAGAAAACGTATGGGCGTTTGTCACAATTAAGATCTTATCGGCATCGTAGGCACCGCCCGGTAGACTTGCTGGGTAATCACGCCTTCGCCTGCTCGGTGTTTTGTGGCGGTTTTTGTTGTGTAATTGACGGTATGGAGGGATGGAAGCACTCATTCCTGAAAGACAGTCGGCCTGGCCACTCTTGCAAGAGGCGTCGTCGGTGGGAGTCACGCACTCTGGACATGGCCCACAGTGCCGAGGCGAAGCAATGGCCCGCTGCCGCACCGAGCTAGCTCGCCTCACTGTTCGACTGACACGTCTGACTTTGTCTCGTGCTCAGCCATGTCGCCTCCGTATCGGGCACGCTGGCACCGCCCCTGATCTGCGACTATCCCCGGACCTGCATGCGAGCACGCACTGAGCATAAAAACGGCCTCGTGCCGGCCAAGCGTAGAGATCAGGAACAAGCAGTTTCATCCGGGTCAGAAACAAAAAACGGCGTCATCAACAGCCAAGCCTCTTATCAAAGCCGGCTCGTTAATTCACCGGGCTTCTGAGTTCACATGCAGTGGATGGCATTACCATGGTGATTGTCATCACGAGGCCAGGTACCTCTCAATAAGCACCCCGGACCTCCTGGTGTACCCTGACATTACTTTTGCGTTACTTTCACGGTGCCCGGAGGGCTACTGAGCTGATGTCGGTGTTGTTTGTCGTCCCTGGAGGCTGAGCATCCGCGTTGCTTTGCGACAGTATTCTAATTCAAACAAAAGCGATCGTCTGCAGTATCAGGTGTTTATTTACACATCATGCGTACAATCGGCATGCCACTGAAGGCTGGTCACTACTGAGAGCTCGGCTGTGGCAGGGCCGCCATCCTGTCGCCTGGCCTCAGTCTTGAAAGCACCGTCCCAGACCAGTGCTTACGACCATGTTCAAAGGAACCATGTATTTTCCGTGTTTGTGTAGTTATTGCCTAGATTTCCGACACAATCATGAGAGTTATGCAGATGGGCCGGGCTTTTTGAGACCAGCCGGACTTGGTCCGCAGCTTGGGGCCACCCATTCAGACCACCAATTTTCCGGGGAGGGGACCTGTTCAGCTATTACAGGTGAGGTGGACATACACTGCACCATGCTGAGTCGGTTGGGTCCTTCGATAAAAGGCATAACCAGGGGTGGCGATGCCTGTTCGTTTCTGATGGCCCCGACACCTCCGAGCTGGATTTCGGTCCCACAGTGTTGAGAGAAATAAATGGATGAATTAAAAGTGAGTGCAAAAGTGGGCACCACACAAAGCCTGCATGCCTTCGGTGTAATCTGATGGCCATAGTTTTTATGCTTCTGACGTCAAAGAGTATTTAATAACTGACACAAATATTTATCAGCCCCAGCTCATTGCCATGGTTACTCAAATGTATTTAAAAGTATACATTTGTCGGAAACTTCTGCCCTCTGGTTTCCGGTTTGGAGGCAAGCACTTCCACAAATCGGCACCTCTGCGCCTGGCGACCACGACGATCCAATTCTTTCAACTGTTTGCCGACACAGGGCTCGACTTACAGGAGAGCCGACACAGGGATGGGCCTACAGAAGAGACGACACAAGGCTGGACCTACACGAGAGCCAACACAGGGCTAGACTTACAAGAGAGCAGACACAGGGCTGGGCTTACAGGAGAGCCGACACAGGGCTGGACTTACAGGAGGGCCGACACTGGGCTGGGCCTACAAGAGAGCCGACACAGGGCTAGACTTACAGGAGAGCTGACCCAGGGCTGGACTAACAGCGAGCTGACACCAGGCCAGACGAGGAGGGAGAGGACATCGGGCTGGACCAACAGAAAGCCGACACCGAGCTGAACTAACGGGGGAGCCGATATCAGGTTGGACGACG